GGTAGGTGTCTTATTTACAAATGAGAAAGCAAATCACAGCAATATCTCCAATAGTTTAATATAATTACCTCTAGGAAGCATGAAAAGGTTGGAGGAAGTGGTAGTCATGAAGACAGAGATTATTGTTGCTTGTTAAGCTTTTTAGCATCATTTGATTTTTAAACTATTGTCTTGTAATATTTGCATAAAAGGTAAAATTTTATTTTCAAATAAAATTTTTTGTAACTCAAAGGTTGATTTTATCGTAAGCAGTGAGCTCTATTAGTTTGTCTTCTTTATTTACCTATTCCAGCTTTTTGGGCCTCTAGCAGGCCACAGATGGGTTCTTGGGAGTCACAAGTTTGTGTGTTTACATTCATTTCATTTATAATTAAAAATTTATAAGCCTCTTATGGATCATCTAGGTAGCTGTCATTTTGTTGTCACTATGCATATCTGTCATTTCAATGCCTTCACTATCATGTGTATATCTAATCAAGTTAGCTCCATGTAACACATTTTAATAATTGCAGGAAAATTAGAAAGAGCAGTAAATGATGCATTAGTATCAAATGAAGTCCAATTGAAATTATGGCAGGTCATATGAATAAAATTTATGTAATAATTTGAATGAATCAAGTGTTGAAGAAATTGAGTCATTTCACAAAGCATTGTAAAGTACCATGAACTCACAAGGACCAACAGTCAGTATCATATTCATGTTGTAAATTGTAGTTTGGGTTCAGCAAAATATTATTTGTCACATAAAAGCAATGTTGTTCATTTGAATTGTATTTACTGGTCTGCAGGTTTCTTAAATAATATTTTTAAGTTTGTATAATACAATAACAATGAACATCAGAAGTTTATACCTATTTTTATATTAGTACGCATCAGTATAAATAATAACATAATAATTTAGTTCAACCATGGCAAGTTCTTTTTTTTTTTCTTTAAATTAATTTTCAAAATTAAATTGTTCTGTTGAAAGCATCCATATGTTACATAAATATGAAAATCACTAATTGGTCATTTGTGTTTACTGAGAGATCTGACTGGTTAAGTTTGCTACAAACCAATATGAAATATCACCCACCTATGGCCCTCACCAAGTACTCATTACCTTAGAAAGAAGTACCTTTCTCTCTCACCAGTTTAATTCACCAACTTTACTATCGAATGATATAGTAAATAGCTTCATTACCTTCATCACTGGACTTTCTTTATCTTTACCTCTACACATTGGTTACATTCATCTGTATGTAACTTATGCCTCCCCTAAACTCAGAGAAAGAGGTTGGGAAAAGTTGGGGAGTAGTATGTTTTAGTTTCCCTTCACTGCAGTAGTTATTTACCATAAATCTAGTGGCTTATAAGTAATACAAATTTATTATTTTACAGTTCTGGAGATCAGAAATCCAAAATGAGTCTCACAGCTAAAATCAGGTGTCAATAGAATTGCATTTCTTCTGGGGGAATCTAGAGAATAACTGGTTTCCTTGCCATTCCCAGTTTCTAAAGACTTCTCTCACCTCTTAGTTCGTGGCACCGCATGACTCTGACTTCTGCTTGGATCATCAGATCTCCTTTTCTGAACTCCCACCTCCCTCTTTCATTTTTAAGGACCCTTGTGATTACATTGGGCCCATCCAGGTAATTCTGGATAATCTCCCATCTCAAAATCCCTAATTTAATCACTTCTGCAAAGTCCCTTTCACCATGTAAAGTAAGTAATATATCCACAGGTTCCTGAGGTTAGGATTTGGACGGTTTGGGGGTGGCATTATTCTATCTACCACAGGAGGTATCACAATGCCCAGCCAGTCCCAAGAGCAGAAAGTCTGACGTAGAAATTCACTTTGGAAAAGTGTGAGAACACATTTGCCAGAAACAGAAAAGAAAAATGTATGTAGGTTAAGAGTAGCGCTTTATGGTGAGTAAGAAGGAGTCTTTTTGAGAGGTTGAGGGGTTGGAAAGGGTGGGAAAGACATGGAAATGCTGCTGCAGAAGGTGGGAAAGCCTCCAACTAAGGAAGAAAAAACAGACTGCTTCCCCAAGGGCTTATCCGAGATGTGAAGGCAGTTTTATCCAAGTAAGATGTGGGATCTGAGGTCACACCAATTACCATGTACATGAAAATGACACTAAACACACTGCCATGATAGCTGTCTAAATTTTTAATTCAGAATTTGCGAACAAACCAAACAATGACATCAGAATTAAAAGAATTCCACCACCTCCTTTTTGTTATGCCATTGTTTTTCTTTTTCCATGATTCCTATAAGAAACCTCACACTAATGAGGCTAGCATAAGGAGTGGGGAAAGGAGATGAACCACAGATCGCATTGGAAATAAACCAAGAAATAAGAAAAAACAATCCCTGCCCAAACGAACAACGATGGTGAAAAAACTGCACTAGCGAAGGGTCTATATACTGAGTTTAAATGTTTTAAAGGACAGAACATGAAATCTGATAAGATCTACCAGCTGCTTCTCTTTTCTAAGACATTTGCCCAGGAGACAGCTACTGAAGCTTGGGTGTATTTCTTTCTTGCTGTGTCATACAATGTTCCTTTCCCCTCCCCCCTCCATGCTCTCCTGCTGTTTTATCAGTATGTGTGCGTGTGTGTGTGGTGTGTGCGTGCGTGTGTGTGTGTGTGTGTGTGTGTGTGTGTGTTTTTGGTTTCTCTCTCCCTTGTGAGAACACAGCCGGCTGCCTGTCTCCTGCTGTTTCTGCATTTCTGACTAGGTTTTTGCTGCCTCTTGCCTCCCCTTCCTCTCTTTCTGCTTAGCTTCTTGTCTTCTGGTAAGTATGACAGTCCCCCAAGCCCTGTGAGATGTGGGGTGCGGTTTGCGGTGTTCAAAACTTGCAACTTTGAGATTGCTGGTGAACTGTTGAAGAACTTTCCATTGTTTTATTTATAATTAAAATGTGTTGCTCAGGAACGGATGTATGTGTGATAATCCGCTGGGACTGCCAGAAAAAGTGAAAAATTCTCTCTCAGAGAAGGAAAAAGGCAGGCAATACAGTTTATGGAAGATAAAATTTAGAAATAATTTTTGTTATAAAATTAATTAATCTAGAAAGAGACTATTTAAAAGTAACAGAGTTATTTGACTTGAGGCTACTTTTAGGAATTGAGTTGTCCTGTGGTTTACAATAACTCGGTTATTCTGTTTTCAAGTAAAAGTGGAACATGAGTTTAAAGGCTATCCATGGGACTAATGTAAAAACACCAACGATTATGACTTCTGATGAATGAAGAATAAAGTTAGTACAATTAAAATGCTTGCATTTAGACTAACCACAATAAAATTCTCATGGACAGTCAGTTTTAAATGCATTGCGTCGAAGTTTGGTTTACTTTAGATTTTATTTCATATTAAGAAAACTTTCTAATACTTTAAAACCCACAGATGGATTTGTGCCAATAAATGTTTACTCTTCCATTTGTATTAAAGAGTACTTTCTCCCTTTGATTTTCAAGGATCAAGTGCTAAATGCCATGGCTCCATTTAGAAGAGCTTAAAATAGCTTCTGGCTGGAAGCAGGTGCCATGTGTCTTTCTCCAAGTTTAGCCAAGGCACAAGTTATATATAGATGACTGTGCCCAACGAGAAGGGGTCAAACTAAAGAAACTCCAGTGATGAAGATAATGAAGCTGTTTACTGTATCATTTGATAATAAGGTTAATGGATTAAAATGGGTAAAAGAAAAAAGTACTTCCTTCTAAGATAATGAGTACTTGGTGAGGGCCACACGTGGGTGGCAGTGTCTGTACATTCAATTTTCTGTTCTTGTTGATGTCTACTGCCCTGAGAACAGGGGGAAGCCACACGATGCATAGAGCAGTATGTTTCTGTTTCTGCTATCATGCCACCACAACAGCAAAACCTGAGCATTGTGAAAACTCTGTCATATTGTTACCCTGCTAATAAGCAGCATCACCATTAAATATAATTTATAAATAAAATGCACCATAACTTAAAGTTCTAAGCCAAATCTATTGCAACCCTAGAAATGGTGATAGCCAGAAATCCTGGAATCCTTGATTCAGCTTGTTCCTTATTCCTTATTTCCAAAGAGCTCAAATTATATCTGGATTATTTCTCTACTTCATTTCCTCTCCATTCATTAAACATTGCTATGTCTTAAATATTATTAAGTTATCCTAGCGCTTCTTGACTTAGAAGAGAAAGTTGCTATCTGGTTTTTTTTTTCCCCCCAAAGAAAATCAGTTTTTATTTTGGAACAAAAAAAGTATTATAGAAATTCAAAGAATTATTATTATGAGCATCACCATGTTTCCATACAGTTTGTTAATTTACACTTTCCTTCATTCTCTGTCTTATTCCAAAAATGATGTTAACTTGAACCTCAAAAAATCTGTTTTCATCATTAATATTTATATGTTGTTCATCTGGGAAAAGGAGAATACCAGAAAAAAAAAGTCTCCTGTATCTAGTATAATAATTCATTTATATTAATGTACTCATATTAATCAATTCTTTTTTTATAGATTAAAATAGAACTTAGGAACATTATTATTATGAAAGATTTTAGCAAGTTCAGTGGCTATTATATTAAATACACTTTGAAAGTTAAAATATTTTAACTTTAACATCATTTAAAATTTGAATATTTCAAATGTATGCATCCATGTACTTCCAATGATTGTAAATCTACATAGAATTATATAAAAGAATGGTAACACAAACTGGCTATTCCAAGCAAAGTGACAAAGAGGGTCATGAAAAACAATATCTTGAATTACTCTGTTAATGTCAATAGGAGGAGATATTACTGAAATTTAAAGACCAAAACCAAAAATATGCTAATCGTATGACTTGATTTAGAAAAATGGCTTCCCACTGTTCCTACCTAATTGCTGTATCGATGGTATGTGAAAGCACATTCATTCTATGTTAGAAACTGTAATTAGTAGGTGCCCGTTTGGATATGCAACTAGATTAACTACATAAAGCCTGACTGTGCTTACCACTAGGTACCACTCCCAGTATGGAGACTAATCACTCTGCACAGCTCTCAGGAGAGCCACAGGCAACACTTCCAGGGGACAGTTCATCGTTACTTAGTCAGAATGGCCTGGAGAAGCAAGATAATCAGGATTCCTCAGTCCCACTCCAAGCACCATCGAAAGAGGCAGATGTGCAGCCTGAAACAGGAACTCGTGACATCTCTGACGAGTTGAATAGGCAACTGGAAGACATCATTAACACATACGGGTCTGCTGTCGGCACAGCAGGGAACGAGAACCCCCCTACAGCCAAGGAGCAACCTGAGAACACAGAACCAGCTGACAACGAGGACAGAGACTGTGAGGAGGCCATTGAAGAAACTGAAAGAGAACCTGTGGCTTCTGGAGAGCCACCCACAGCCAAAGAGCCTGTCAGCAATAAAGAGCAAAAATTGGAAAAGAAAATCCTGAAAGGATTAGGCAAGTACTTTTATTCTAATATATGATTTTTCTTTGAATTATTCCTAAAAAGGGCACTTCCTCCAACCTTTACTAAAACTCTTATCTAATATTTGGATTACTACAATAGTTTCCTTCAGGGTCTCCCAATATCTTCTGTTGCTGTACTTGCCCCCAGCCAATTCCCCTCAGTAGAGCTAAAGTGAACTTTCAACATGTTACAAATCTACCCTCTGTCCTCAACGGACAAGACCAGAATTCATTTCTTTTAGGACAAGACCAGAATTCTTGGCATAGTCTTTCAGGCCCTAATGGTCTAACCCAAACCGTTCTTTCCAGCATTTTCTCCCATCACTCTACCCTACAGCATCCACTTCCTGAACATTCTATTCCTATCACCACCATGACTACTGCTGCCTAATAACTAGTCTGATTTACTTTTTCAGTTATTTGCACCTGCCATACTTTCTTCCTCTCAGGGCTTGTGTACATCCTATTTGCTCTACCTAGAAATCTCTACCTATTCTCCAGTTCATCCCTCTGGACACTTATCTCATCATTTAGCTCACAAATCAAATGGCACTTTCTTATAGCCCAACCTTAGATAAAGTCTGTTTTCTGTTTCTATTGTATTATGTATCTTTCCTTTCTAGCATTTATCAGCGTTTGACAGTATACATTTACTTTTGTGATTACTTGGTTAATATGTGTCTTCCCTACTAGCTCTTTTATTTTAAGGGCAGGGACTGTGTATATATCAGATGCCTAATGTCTATCTAGGACAATGGATGATACATGCTAGCTGCTCAATAATATTAGTTGTAAGGCTGAATGAATGTAAATAAAAGGGAAATTATTTAAGGCAAAGCTAGTGGAATCTGGATTTAAACAAAACATAAATATAGGGATGGTTTTGTATATACAAAATGATTGTCGATTAGATCACTTGGTAGTATGTTCCATTACCATATAAAATATTTTTATTTAACAAAATGCTTCAGAAACATATCAATTTCAGAATATCAATAATTATAGAAAATATTCTTGCTCTCATTATTTGGTTCAGCAAATATTTGTTAATGCCTAGTCTTTATGAGGCACTGTACTAGGTACACAAAGATAAATAAGTTGTCATGTCTCTAGTCAAGGAGCCCTAGGCATGGAGGAAAATATAGACATATAAACTAATTATTATACAGGATAGGTGCTAAAGCAGGCATGGGAAAATTGTTAGGAAAGCATGAGGGATCGGTAACACCAAAAATGGTTATGAAAAAACCATTTTTGGTGTTACCGATCCCTCATGTGAGAGAGCTATTTTAGCTACTAGTGGAAATATGTTACTTCACGTGAAAGTCCCTCTGCCTGTCTTTCTTCATGAATTTCCCTGAAATACTCACTACAAACACACCTTCTATGGGAAACTCTCCCTGACATACCCAGGTAGAGTTAGCATCATCTTCCTTAGCTCTCCATTAAAGTTTCTGCAGCAATCGTTTGTTTATATGCCTGCCTCTCAAGCTGGATGGAGAATCTATCAAGGGCAGTGATTGTGGGCTTTGGAATCAAAACTGGGTTCACACTCCAGTCATAGGTTATCTACGACCCCAAAAGTACATCCATACTGGCATAGGACATTACTCTACAATGCTTAAAATGCATTGCTGGCAGGTATATAAACAACGACGACTAAAAGACACATTCAAATAGCACACGGGACCCACCCAGCAAAAGATTAACTCAGCTAATACCAAGTTCTAACATGCAACATTGGAATCACCTAGTGTTTTAGAACTTTGGGAAAGAGAATAAAGTTCTCTACGTTAGAGTTATTTTTTTCTTCTCTTTCCAAGGCATCTCAAAATAGCCCCTTTGCAATTGTCAGTGTTAAACTTTCCATAAGACAATACAAAATCACAACTCAGAAGTGAATGATTTCAAGTGTTACTAACCAGTAAAGTTCTTTCACTTTACCACTCTGAAACTACTTCTACATAGGAATGTTTTTGTGTTGTATTGAGGGATAGATATGAAGAAACTAAAAGTAAAGTTAAAGATGACCAATTTTGGTTTCTATTCTGTCTTCTCTGAGTTATTTCAAAATTTGTATTAACATCATAATTACCAAATAATCAAAAAAAAATATTAGAGAAAAAATTCCACAATTCTGCCACTATCTATGAATTAGTAAATTTCATTTGCGTGTATTTGACCAGAACTAACGGTTGTGGATCAGAGTGCCCGGGTATATCTACTGTCATTACATGTGTATAAGCTGCTCATCCTTCCATGCCATTCCTCTGAATACCATCAGCATATTCTTTTAATCGCTGTACTATTTCAGCTACAACGTGAATTAAAACAATATTTTTAGGCTACTCTAAATATGTAACCAGCATTTTAAACCTTATTCAGTTGTCTGCAAGTGATTTTAACAGGCTTCTTGGTCATTTAGCAATTAAATGGCAGTGCACTATCATCTGGACCAATGGTTTTCTAACTTAACTGTGCATTAGAATCAAATACAGAATTTGCCAAAAATGCTGCTTTTGAGCACAGAAATTCAGAATTGGTAGGTCTGAATTGGGGCCAAGTCACCTGGGTGATTTTGACACAAATGGATTATAGAGGCAATAATTCTGATGCTTCAGAAAGAGCTTGGGTAAAATAGAAAGTGCCAGTTGTGATCTTCTTTTAGAAGCTACTTGGAACTTTTATAGAATTTTAGTAAGTCATTCTTCCATACTTGAAGATATATCCTTAGACATCACTTATACATTGATCAAAGATGAGTTTTTAATTATTGTATGTTTATCAGATAATATTTGCTTTATTGGTATTTTCGAGATGCTGAAATGTTCTCACTCTCTAATATCCCAAATTTTCCACCTTTGAGATATTTGAGATTTTAGCCCAAGTTAAAGTTTTCCTGCTGCCAGAGGTCTCTGATCTTTAGTAGATACAACAATGAAAATCTCCAGTACTGATGGGCATAGCTTACCACATACCCTAAACTTATTGGAGCACAATACCCTTCTTTCACAGAATACCTCTGAATATTTAAAAAATATCTCTACAACCTAAGCACTCAGGACTTATTTTTCCTTTAGATGATGTATATCCTCCCACAATTAACACACTATACGCCACAGCAGTTGTGGGAGCATTTTAAAATCTCTTTATGTGGTAGAGTCACTTTTTCCTTGGCATCTGAACTGAAAGAAATAAAAACAGATTCCCCATTAGAGAGCACCATGACACATTCTGTTAACATCTAAAGTCTCCCTTTTGCATTTCCTACTCCATTCTCCAGGGTCACAAGTGTCTTATTAATTATTTCTCTGTCAGCTTTATGTAGGTTGCATAAGTACCACATGGTAATGAGCACGAAACAATGATAAAATATAATATACCTTCCGATGTTTAAGTTGACAACTGATTGAGTAGGAAATCATAGGTCTGAAGCATAAGGCCAGGAGAGAAACAAAGCTGATCCACAGGTCCATTCTAAGCTCAGAATCCATCTAGTCAACCCATTAATTTAGTAGACGGGATAATTGAAGCTTAGAGAATTTTTAAAGACTGAAAAAAAAAAGTTACTCAACTAGTCGACTAGTTGATGTGATTGTGAGATTAGTCATAAGGAAAGCAAGTCATTAACCTGAAGTCATTAACAGTGCAGAACCAAAGATATATTACAATAATCAGTATGTTGGTTGAGGAGCAGCCACTCAGCTCAGTTAATGGGTTTTGTCTTTCTGGTTACAGGTGAGTTCCAGTTCTACTTTCTGAGGAGAATCTTGAGTAGGACATTGGTATTCTAAAATGTTTTCAGCCTTTTACTTACTTTGCCTTAGAAAGGTCACTTTTTTAGATGGTCTGTTTCGTCCATTTTAGCTTGATTTCTAGTTTCATTCTAACAGAAAAAATAAACTGCTGCTTTGAAACAAATGCTATATTTTCTAGAAGAGATTGTTGGGGAAGAAGAATCAGCAGAGACTGAAATGTTCGTGAGAAGATTCATAGAGAAGCTAAAACTTAGGCCGGCTTCTAAAAGGAGAAGAGAGTTTGGAGAAGTAGATAGAAAGAGAGATAAAAATATGTCCCTAGCAAAATTATTGGTACTCTCTTCTGAGCCAAGGGAAAGGATGTATTCATTTCTTACTATTCTTCCTGATATGTTTCTTTTTTATTATAAGGTTTGCTTTATTTTGTTTTCCCTGGAATTGTCTCCTCATTATTAGATTCAAAAGTTTTTTCTTTTTAAGAAAGTTTTCTTTATAGTTATAGCCTAGAAATTTCTAGTAGTTTGAACGCATCGTCAACTGACCTAAAAAGTCCAGGTCCACTTTCCAAATGAGTGGGAAGCCAAATTTCCAATTACGTATAATAAGGTCATTAAAAAACAAGAGAAATGAGATGTCAGCCAAATGGGAAACAATGTGACTAGAAAATATAGGAAAGGCAGTATTTTCAAAAATGATATAGTCAATAAAACCACGTAAAACAAACAAAAACCATGAGTACGAGAGGTGACAGTGAGGGTAAGAGAATCTTTATACATTTTAAGAGTAAACCAAAACATTTTAGGAAAACAAATATGCCATCCAAACAATGTTATTTTTATTGTTGTTGTTATCTAAATTAAGGTAAAAATAAAGCCATTTCAGTATTGGAATCATCAAATCTCAGAATCCATTTAGTCAACCCACTAATTTTATAGTTAGGAAAATTGAGGCCCAGAGAGCTTAAGAGTATGTGAAAAAGATTACTAAACTAATTGATGACAGAGTCAGTTCTAGAACCCAGTCTCCCAACCTTAGTCTAGCGTGAATTTAATCCTTCCTACCTACATACGTGAAATTTATACTATCTTTCCAATCTGCATACATACATTCTATTTACCTTAAAAGATACCTATAGATGGTCAGAAATTGTTTCTATTACACTCATTATCTTTGTGTTAGAGAGAAAACAAAGTTAACATTGAAATATGATTCTAGGTCTAACATTTGAAGACAACATTCACAATCTTTTCCTGCTTAAAGCTTCTCCCCGCACACTTGGAAATCGGGAAGAGAAAAGAGAGGCATACATGTGCATCCATGACCAAATTTTAGCCCCAAAGTTCTAAAATATAATATTGGAAGAAAAAAAAAAGCATAGGTTTGAGCACTCGTTAAATCTACATAATTTGTCACTGAACTTCATATTAACAGTCATCACTATGTTAAAACTTTAAGAAAAATTCCAGTTCACATTTCTATAGCTGATTTCATTGTCTTAATTTAAGAGTTTTAGTTTCTTTGATGTAAAAATAATTCCTTCATATTCTAATAGTCTCACAGTCTACAACGATGTCAACAGCCACAGCCATGTGTGACATGTTTGTTCTTGCTTCACCATGGTTCTACTTTCATGTAGACTTAGAACCAAACTGAGCATTCTGTGGAGTGTTGGCTATGTGCCACCTTTAATGGAGACTTCAGGTCTGTCACTGGCTTTCCTTGTGACTAATCCTGCAATCACATTGCTTTAAAATGACACATTGGGGTGAAGGCAGATCATCCCTTCCCAATAAAACGTTCCTCAATAAAGTCGATTTTTTATTTTGTGTCACCAAATGACCCCATTTCCATGTAATTATAACTTCAATCTGAGAAGATGAGCAAATCTCTTTGTTTATTCCTCTCCTCAAAGATAATTCCATATACCACTCCAGTCCAGCAAAATCAATGGAAGTCTAAAAACTAAGCTCTCTGATGTCACAAATCTATGTGTCACAAATTTATATGATGTCACAAATTCATCCTGCACTTGCCTTGTTTCAGTTTCTTGGATTGTTTGTTGAAGGGAGAAATCATTTTGAATGGTAGATTGATGCTCCTGAGTGTTACCCTTCCATACAAAATGATGGCATATGAGAAGAGACCTCAATGGGTGTGATGATCAAACAAAACAAAACAAAAACAACAACAACAACAACAAAAACCATCTCCTCATAGTTAAAGAAAACAAAAAGGGGAGAAGATATTTAATGCAGGAAGAAAAAGAGAGCCATTGGACTCACTCAAGAGTTTCTCTCTCCCCCAAATGACACATGTAATGGTTTTCTATGTCTGCATTCACACTGTGAGGTATCCTAGCGCACACTAAATGTCACAGGTAACAGGAAGGCCTACCTTTCCTCTAGTCAATCACACAATTGTCTTCAAGACAGCATTCATTTGATTGACACGACACTAATGTGTACTGGTTGGCTTTATTTTATTCCATTACTACCAACATTTACTGAGCACTTGCCACAGGCCAAATACTGTGCTGGGTCCTGGACCAAATTTGATCAACACTGTAGTTTCTTGCCTTTAACACATGGCACTAAGGACAGCAGTCTGCACGTGGGCACCTTCCACAGACTGAAGACAAGGGTGAAGGAATGGCTTGATCTGTACAATACAAATTCATCCCTGCTGCCAGAAAAATAACTCAAAGACTGGGCCCAGTGGGGGTAGGGCAGCAGTGATTATCAGTTTAAAGGCAGAGTACTATGCTGCAGGCCATAATTGAAGAGCTGGTTGGGCACCACTCATACCTACTTTTGCCTTATCTCAGGCCACGTCTCTAATATGAACTGACTCACTGGGCAAAGAGAGACAAAACCAGCTGTTAGGAATGAAGTCATTTTTTCTTTCCAAAAAAAAGTTTTCTTTTATTTCTCTAGGTTTCCCTGGCATTAAAATTCCACTTGGGAGTAGAGCGATTTAGAGCAAGTAGACAGCCTTGGATTCAAGCCTTGGCTCCGCCAGTACTAATTATGTAACTTTGGACTCTCTGGGCATTAGATTCTTATCTATAAAATTAACCAGTTGTTTGTGTGCTCTTTGAAGCTCCTTCTAGATCTAAAATTCTTTGATGCCATTGGAATTACTAGAGTTAGCAAATAAAAACTCAGAGTACCCAGGAAAATTTGAATTTTAGATAAACAATACATAATTGTTTCAGAATAACTATGTCCTGTGTTCTGTATTTTATCTGGCAACCCTAATTCTATGATTTATCTGCCTGTCCAGGATGAAAGTGAAAGTTCCAGCAGAGGGGAAATGCCTATTCTTTGGTAAAAGATTGTTAAAATTGTTAATATTCTTAAGCAGATTTGTATCAGGAAACATGGGTTCTACTGTGTGGCTAGACCTCCCTACCCTGATTAGATAGAGTGATCGTCACCTTTGCACCATGATAGGACTTTGAAAAGATATGCTCAGTGGTAAAAGTAGACCTCAGGGTCCCCTTTCTCCCTCCCAACACTCAGCCCAGTGGCTGCTTAGATAAGATTTCTGGGCATCACAGAAAGGCAAACCCAACAGTTTGAGCGAAATAGACAAAAGGAAGAACAATGAGGAAAGAAAAAGAATCCAAAGTTTACTGTCAAATAATCATGAACAGATGAGATTTATGTAGCATAAACTCCAAGTAGGAACAAAAAATGAAACTGCCAACAGAGATTAAGGTCTTGAAGGGAGAAGTGAAGGCCCAGGAAGACGAAACCTATAACCAGAAAGACACACAAAGGCCCGTGGGAAAGGCCCTGCCTGTCTTGAGTCCATTTTTTCTCTCTATTGATTTCATTTTCTGCTTGGTAGGAAATATGATCAGACTTATTCTACCCAAACCTCATGGAACGAGTTCACACACAAGAACAAGAAATTGGTTCCCCCAAAAAAGAGAGGAAAGAGGTACTAAAAGAACAACACCATTAAAAAAAAGACAGACTAGTAGGGTGATCACTTTGTGAGTTGTTATATAGATCGCTAATCACTATGCTGTACAACTGAAACTAATACATTATTGTATGACAACTATAATTGAAAAAAACTTATTGAATTGTACAATGTAAATATGAGCAACCAATTGTCTATTGTATTTCAATAAAGCCGGGGGTGGTGGGTGGGGAAAGACAGACTAAACTGTCAAGTTTCTCTGCTTTGGGCTGAAATTCTAGCAACTCCATGTATCAGTGCTGGCTGTTCCATGGTAATCAGACATTTTGATGGACTGTTTTGCTCTTTTTGTTATTTTCAAATTAATGGAGGGAAATGGGTGATTTGTTCTTTCATAAAGTCAGTGTTTTTAATTCTTTTAAACATTTTCGAAATATTCAAAATTCTTTGAACATTTAGAATACATGGAGGGAAGGAGTAACAAAAATGAATTCTTGGGATGAAAATTTGGAGACTAATGTCATAGCAAATATTTGTTGAAACTCTACTATCACCCTGCTACTATACCACTTATTTTCACAAACTTATTCTATAAGGTAGGTGTCATCCCTTTTATAGAGAAAGAAAGTGATATCTGAGGCTCAGATAGTTTAAGTGGCTTGGTCAAGGGTGGCCAGTAACTAGCAAGCGGACAAGCTAAAATTCCGCACCATATCCTCTAACTTCAGGGTCAGCACTTACTTTTAAAAATGTCTTTACGTGTTTTTTTTTTTTTCTTTTAAGGTAAAGAAGCTAACCTGCTAATGCAAAACCTGAACAAGTTGCAGACTCCTGAAGAAAAGCTTGATTTTTTATTTAAGAAGTATGCCGAGTTGGTAAGATCTTTAATTCTTTTTGTCAGAAAGATTCAGGGTTCAGTTAGAGCTGAGGAAAGGAGGCTGTTGGCTTTTCAGGTACATCACTATAGACTGTGACCGGTAACCTCAGATGAGCCAAAGCTAGAATTCATAAAAGCAGAATTTTTTTACAGGAAAAAGAAACAGAAAAACTGAGGAATAACAGCAAAAGGGGGAAAGAGGATAGAGTTGGAATTTACTCCACCTTCAAGTATGTATATCACTTAGGGGATAGATGAGAGAATTATAGATAATTAAAAATTATAGATATTTTAAAGGTTTTTGGGTTTTTTTTTAAACATAAATACATCCACCATAAAGTCAAACTTTCATTTGGTTCTGTGCCCCAGTTTTTTGAGGGGGTCCCCTCAGGAAGGCATAGAGTTGAGTTAATCCCACCTCCTCAGTTTGTGACAGATTCTCATTTGGTCTTAATGACTTGTTAGTTAATCAGTCAGTCAGTCATTTATTCTCTTTGATCTACATTCCCCTCCTCCACAATGGCAAAGGATTTGACATAGACAGTTTTGTGCCCTGTTCTAGGTCCCCCACATGTGGTCTTTCTCTCAGTAAGTTAGGGCTACTGGGAGGAAGGGAAGCCACTCCCAGACATCAGAGAATCCATGATGTGCATTGTTTCCTCACTGGTACTTCTGCAATGGGCCAGCTGGAAAAGGAGCATTCAGTGAAGCCACCCTGTCTGGTCTCCATGAACCCTCACAAATACTTGCTAAAGGAGCAACACCGGAAGTCTGTGTACTACCACAGGGTGCATAGCTAACAGCCGAGAAGTCCTCTCAAGCGAAGCAAGGCAATTTGCTCCTCTCTCATTTCTGCTTTTCTTTCAAGTTTTTTCTCACTTATTTCTTTTGGAGAGCAGTGACAGGAGGGTGAAACTTATATCCACATACAGTGAAACAATTCCTCCAGGCAGTAGGTCGACCTGCTTCTGAAGACGAATTTACCTTGCAGTCAAAAAAGATTAAGGGTCAGAGCTTCTCACTTGCAGGGGCTCCTCTGAGGTCCTGGATGTAATTCTCTTAATTATAATTTTTGTTTTTTATTTTAAAAAAGAGGACCTCGAAAACCAAATAAGCTTCAGGCCTACAAAACTCTCAGGTCCCTGGCTACATCTCATCCCTATTGCTAGAGTAGAGTTTAACAAGTGACTTGTTTTCTTTCATTTTCGCTCTAACTTCAGTCTTGTAATTCCTGTTTGTTCTTTTTTTTCTTTTATCTTGACACATCTGTTATGCTGAATTATTATACAATAGATCCAGAGAAATTCTGAAACCCCAATGACCGGCTGAATGCTTAACTCTACCAACAATACTTTTAAATTATTTTTTTAATCATATAGACTATGTCATGATAGTATAAGAAAAATGCTGAATACACAACCCCAAAATATTTCTAATCTCATAATCTAAAATACGAACTTTGATTTATCCATCTTCCTTTCCAGTTCTGTTACATATGCAGAGATTTTTTTTATTATAATTACCTTTGTGAGATACAGATACAGTTGACCCTTGGGCAACACTAGGGTTAGGGGTGCTGACCACCTGCACGGTCAAAAGTCCATGTGTAAATTTTACTCCCCCAAAACTTAACTACTAATACCCTACTGTTGACCAATAACATAAACAATCAATTAAAACATATTTTGTATGTTATATGTGTTATGTATGTATTCTTACAATAATACAAGCTAGAGAAAAGAAAATGTTATTAAAAATTTTGAGGAAGAGAAAATATATTTAAGGAAAAAAATAAAAGTATTTACTGAAAAAATCCATGTATAAGTGGACCTGCACATTTTAAATCCATGTTGTTCAAAAGTCAACTGTAATTGGGTATCTGGTTTTTTGGCTCATGTGACAGACATCTTCCCATGTACTGTATAGTCTTCATTAATTATATTTTGTAAAAGCTATGTCATTTTCTATTAAGTGGCCTTATCTACTAGTTCTCTAATTTTGAGACATTTAGATCTTTCCACTCTTTGTTTTACCAAATATTGCTGCATTACACTATTAAATCACAAATCATAGATTAGATTTGTTCCTTCTCTTCGTTTTATGATCTTAGAAAAAAGTTCCAGAATTGGGATTACTAAATTGAAGAGTATGAATGTTTTTAAATGACTGCATTGCTTTCCAAAAGAATGGTAGAAATTTATAAAGCAAGTATCAGTGTATCAATTTTATTGGAACTTATTTAACATTGGCTGTTAACCGTCTATGAACAATTTCAATGCCATAATATGTTAGTTGTCAAAAATAATAGTTTTCCAAAAAACATGACCCCCATTCTTATCCATCCATCTTGGCTCTTTTTAATATTTTCCACATCATTTTCCCTTTGCCCCTTTGATTTACCTACTCGTACCAAGGCCATTCATGTTTAGTTTCCAGTGCATGTTCTGTACTTGGCTGGACTGGGCAGCATTCTAGACTAGCACAGGAAGCCATTTACAGTGCTGCGGTCCCTCATCAGTACATCAGAGAAGAACCACTTCTTTGGTCTGACCCAAATTTTCTTCATGAACCAAGGCTGTTCACCCTGGTTTCATGGAATTCCCTGCACCTACTCATCCTCTTAGCCAAGCGGTCGCCCCCCCACAGAGCTTATTTTTCCAGAGATCGTACTCAATTCAAGCCTTACTTAGTATACTTTGGCATTCGTATCAGGTCTTATAATAGACTTTAAAACACTAAAGATGATTCTAGAAAAAATAAATAGGAGAAAATTGGCCCCCCAAAAACCTCATTACATTTTCTTTTCAGAAAGGAAAAATTATGAGGAATTTCAATCTTTTACCTGGAGACTAAAACCTATTTCCTTGCTCACTGATTTGGACATTAATAAAGAAAGTATCTAAAATGTAAGTGTTAAGATAGAATAAATTATCATATTCAAAGTTGTGACTCAAACTGCCACTCTAGCTCACTCATTTTTTACAGATTCTGAATCTTGTAATGTTATCTACCATAGTATTCATTAATAAATAAGAATAAATTTATTAATAAATAGGGATACTCCATGACTAAATTAAAAAATGACCTAGAAAAAATACTTTCAGCAAATTTTCTCAATTTTAATGTAGTTACAACATCACTAATACTATTCTAATTTAGTACTTGGCATTAATTTTACTTTTTTAACTTAATAATAAAAAAGAGAAAACAAGAGAACTTGCAGATAAGAATTGTATACACCTGTTACAATTGTAGAGAAGAATCCTAAATGTACTATTAAGCCACAAAGCCAGCATTACCTGAAATTGACTCAGTTGCAATGTTTTTCATTCCTTAAGAAACCCCATACGCATTCACATAAGTCTGAAGTATTTAAACAAAATTAGCCATACTCTAAAATAAAAAATCATCATAGTTAAGGGTTTTTAGTTAGAACAAAGCAAGATAGATCTAGTTAAATTTTTGATGTGTATAATCTTGCAGTAAAACTATAGCATTGAATGGTCAATGAATAAGCCAAGATTATCTCTTTCAACTCATGAAACACATGTAGAGTATCCACTTCCTCATAATCAGATAAATCACATAAGGCAGTGTTCCCCAAAAAAGGCACAATTTTGCCCACCATGGGACAATAGGCAATGTCTGTCTGGAGATATTTTGGCTATCAGAATTGAAGCGGGGTGGTGCTACTGGCAGCTAGTAAGTAGGGGTCAGGGATGCTTCTAAACAGCCTGTAATGCACAGGACAGCCCCCACAACAAAAAATTATCTGGCCCAAAATGTCAATAGTATTCAGGCTGAGAAACCTTGACATATGGTTTAATCTTCAAAAGGTAAAGGCTAACCATAATGACAATAATAATATATAAATCTCAAGGAAGGACAGTAGGTCACTTGAAGTCCAAACATAAGCATGAGAAGTTTCACCTGTACCTGATAAACATGGTGCAAAGTGAAAGGACCTCATGCATCCTACAAATAGGAGGTATTAAAAATACATAAAAAAAATCATTGATCTTCCAATTGAACCTCAAGAAAGATATCAATTTTAATCAATATTTATAGTAATATGGACTAGTTTCTCTTGATGCTAATTCTCACAAATTATTAAAAATTGCCCATAAGTATGAAGAAAGAATATCATGTATGAATATCCTTAACTTAATTTGGCAAGGGTTTATAATGGACATTTCAGTGTGGCAGGAGGGAGGAAGGAAATAAATAAAGATGTGAACTGAAGAAAGTGTAGCAATTCTGTTTATCTAGTTCAGAAAAAAACAAATTTTTTTTAAGATGGAGGAACTGAGATGAGTATCAAGGCTCATGTCATGTGTGCATCTACTTGTACCACTATGTGAGGCGCCAGGAACATTTGGGATCCTGAAGCACCCAGGGGCTCCTCACGAAGAACTATTCCTCTTCATTAGCCAACAAGGTCATTATTAGGATGATCATCTACCTAGCATAAGCACACTCAGGCTCTCAGCAAACCAAGTCGAGCAGAGGAAAAGGCTCTAGACAAAGGGCCATCGCTTGCATGTGGCCATACATGATTGTCAGTCTGAGATCCACACTCCTAGAGTATGCTAATCTCTGGTGGCTTCAGGAAGGCTAATCCTCAAATTCTCACCACCTCACTATAATTCCATAAAAATGTTGCCAAATTTAACTGCGCGTACTTTTTATAGAACACCCAGTTAACTTTTCATTTTAGGTAAACAAACAACAATTTTTTTTTAATTTTTATTGTTTAGTAAAAGTATATCCCATGCAATACTTTGGATATATTTTCACTAAAAAATTATTCATTATTTATTTCAAATTCAAATTTAACTGGATATCCTACATTTTATCTGGCAATCCTACCCCAGAAATTTAGCATCCAGACATGACAAGTCTGGGAGTACATTGGTTTCATTTTCTATGCTGTCCCTGATACTTTAGTTATGGTTGCTGGAGGAGTATGAGAAGAAGTCCCACCTGAGCTCAGCAAAAACAATTGTCATGATATATTTCCAGAAGCACAGAGGATGTGCAGGTAGAGGGAGAGCAGAGCATGTTACAAATACTAGCCATTCACATTGTTGAGTTAAGAAGTGGAAATATCTGAAAATGTGGTGACAAATGTCAATGCTTAGATAACCAAGGGGTACTTTCTCTTCCCCTCCTTTCTCACAACCCACAGACTTCATCTTCTATTTACCAGGAGGCTGCTTTTCTCTTTCCCACTTTTTGAAATAGTTGCTATAAGCTTATTTTGAGAAAGACTATTGAGACCTAAAGGTAAACCAAGCAGACACACCGTTGACCATTGCCGCAACACAAGGCATTAATTATTATGACTTCTGGCAGTTTATAGATTCTGAGATATGCCTTTCTAATACTGACTGACATCATTAGATAGACTCAAGAAAACTGAAGCTATTTTTAGATCAGAAAAAGAAGATCAAAGTTAGAAGAGATTAGTAATAATAGTGACGATAAGGAAAAACCTGTAAATATTATGCTCTAAAAACTATATCTACAAGTACTACAAAAGTAACATAGATGAGATTACTTTGACTCCAGAGAGACAGTGGTAATAGCAAAAAAAAAAAAAAAAATGTTTTCAAATAATCAGAGTGATCTTTAGGCATTTCCTCTTTTGCTCCTTTTTCTTATAAACTCAAAAGAGATTTCTGCCATTTTCTTTCACATTTGCATACCCATGTCTAGCTAGATGAACATCGCACTGAGCAAAAGACTTTCAAGCTCCTACAAAAGAAACAGGTACAAATCCAAAAAGAAAAGGACCAGTTACAAAGTGAACACAGCAGAGCTATCCTCGCTCGAAGCAAACTGGAGAGTCTGTGCCGGGAGCTGCAGAGACACAACAAGACACTGAAGGTATGTGTCACAAGAGCTATGTAACATACTTACTTGCATGCTGCATAGTCACACACTTCTACTCATGAAAGAGCATAAGTTTTAGAATTAAAGAAACTTGACTTCAAATAATAGCCCTGCCACTTGCTCGCCTGTGACCTTCGATAAATTATTTTACCTCCCATAAGCTTATTTCCTCATCTATAAATGAGGATTATATCAATTTCACTGTGTGGTTGGGAAAAAATTAAATGAGGGTACATTTGCAAGGTGCCCATATAGTACCTGACACAGAGCAGGCCCTAAGTAAAATGTGTTCTGTTCCCCTTACCTTTTTCTTATATTGAGTTGTTACATTTTATATTTTAAGGTAGGCTTTACTGCTACTCTTTAAAACGCAAACTTGTAAAAATGCAACATTTTTGGCATGATAATAAAATCTGCATGACATGAAATAAACTGACACAAAGCTAATTGCCACAGTAAAGCAAAACTGAGAGCCAAAATGTCAATAGTCAATTGAAAAAAAAAAAAGGAGCTATTTGAAAAAACACTGAAGCTCTTCAGACTTAAATTATTCAATCTAAAAATAATAGACTTCATTCAGTCTGCATGAGTTTCATTAATTACAGCATAAGCCTCTAGCAGTGTAGTTAATTTGATTACATATAGACACTAGCTCCATTCAATAAAGCAAGATGCAAGGCTCTTCAAGATAATATTCCGTGCGTCCACAATCCCCTTTCCAGCTGAAGATCCTAAAGCTTTTGACAAACAAGAATTAATTAGACACCAATATCCCTATGAGAGAGTTATTACTACACATGTTTAAAAGTAAATACTTAAAGAAATAGAGAGATTAAGATCATTGCTAAGTTTGTACAATGAAGCAAGATAAAAAAAAATAGAAGAGGATAATGGCTCCTCATATTTCAAAATTGTTTTTTTGATATCTGGGAAATGAGAATCTAATGTGATGAACTCTCTCAAATTATGAGTTGTAGGAGATGGGCTTCTGGCATCTCTTCAGTCACTACTCCAGGTACAACCAAACCCCAGATGAGGTGGGGGCCTGGGAATAGGAGCATCATGTTCAATTCAAGATATTTGTTCAAGTAATAGTGCTCTGTATTTACAGAAATCTCCTGGCTTTCAGGAGTATTATATAGTAAGGAGATAAATTAAAACAGATATAGTGGGAAGCTTTATCAACAAAGAGTTCTAAAGAGTGGAATGATATGGTTTGGTATGTTTGGGTAGCATTTGAAGACAGAATGATGGAAGTGGCAGAAGACACTGTAGGTATACCCACACACCCTCAATAATGGCCTCCAAATATGAAAAATGAAATTATTGAGTATCATGATTATGCCAAGACTTACGCTAAGTGCTTTACATATATATTATTTTATTTAATCTTCACAACAATCTTATGAAGGTTAATATCTCCATTTTACTGAACAAACTGAGTCTCAGCAATCCAAATCTGTTGTCCAAAGTCATACATATTTTAAATGTCAAAATTAGGATTCAAATTCAAAATATTTTCTGATTTCCCTTCTGATTTTTTTCTTTTACCCAGGGATTATTTAGATGTGTTCATTTTTATAGCCTATCAAAGATGGTCTATCTTCATGAACATACTATATGCACTTGGAAAGAATGTCTGTTCAGATATTAAATGTAATGTTTCATAAGTAACAACTAGCTGTAGATCATTTATATCTTTACTGAATTTTTATCTTGTTGTTCTACCAATTGCTGAGGGATGGAGGTTAAAAATCTCCTAGAATAATTGTGGAATTTTCTACTTCTTTTAATTATGTCAATTTTTGCTTCATGTATTTTGAAGCATTAACATAATGTATATACACAGTTACAGTTGTTATGTCTTCTTGATGGCTTGAATCTTTTATCACTATGAAATGTGATAAAATAATAATCAATAATAATTATCAATAATAATCTTTATCCGGATGTTTACATTATCTGATATCAATATAGTTACTCCAGTTTTCTTACCCTTTTTGCTGGCATGATAGATCTCTTTCAATCTGGATCTTTATATTTAAAGTGCATCTCTCATAGACAGCATGTAGTTGGAATTTGCTTCTTTTAATTCTTATAATATCTGCTATTTAATTAGAGTACTAGTCCATTAACATATAATGTAATTGTCATAGTGGCTGGATTTACATCTACAATTTTATTTATTATTTACTTACTATTTTTCACCTCTGTTTTCTGTTCTGTTATTTTCCTCCTTTCCTTCGGATTATGTGAATATATTTTAAATTCCATTTTAATTATCTCTTGGATTTTTAATTATACCTCTGTCCATTTTCAGTGATTGCTCTATGATTACTATATACATTCTTAACTTTTCATAGTCTGCCATTTAATTAGAGTACTAGTACAATACTACCTGGAGTTAAAACTGTATCACTTTATATAATATGTAGAAACATTTACTTCCCCCATCTTTAAAGCTATAATTGTTTTAAGTATTACATTTACATACATTTACAAAGCCCATGAGACAGCGTTAGAATTTTTACATTAAATACTACATATATTTCTTCTAAAATTAAAAGAAAAACTGTATTTACCTAGATATTTACCTCTTTGATAATTTTTATTCCTTCTAATTCCATGTGTTTTAGAACTTTTAATATTGTCCCACAGGCCCTTGAGTCTCTCTCCGTGTTGTTCACCAATCTTTTTTCTCTTTTATCTTCAGATTAGATCATTTATATTGGTCTGTCTTCATAATCACTATTTCCTCTCTCATCTTTATTCTGCTCTAAGTCCACAGTGATAATTAAATTTCATATTTTTTAACTTTTCACTTCAGAATTTCCATTTAGTTCTTTCTTATAGATTATTTTTCTCTCCTGAGATTTCCTATTTTTTCATTCATTGAGATAATATTTTCCTTTATATCAATGAGCATACCTGTTTTTAAATTCTTGTCTACTAATTCCACATCTGGGTTATTGTGAGATAGGCCTACTCTGATTATCTCTTCTTTTGAGAATGGATCATATTTTCTTGGTTCTTCATATGTTAAGTCATTGTAGATTTTATCTTGGATGTTGTGGCTGTTATGTTGTAGAGAATATGGATTCTACTATACTCTGAAGAATGTTTGATTTTTTTAAAGCAGGTTATTAACTTTGTTAGAGTCAAACTGTGAACTGCCTCTCTTGGGCAGCAACTCAATCTCAGTTCATTTATTTTCCTTAGCCAGAAGGCTTTGGTTCTGACCTGTATGTATGTAGTTCAAGGTCAGCGAAGATTTGGGGCAGAGTTTATTCACAGAATTTATGGCTCTCGCCCTGACTTTCTCTTTCATGGGAATCTCCCCTTACCTTTCAGTAGCTGTAGTTGACTAGAACTTTGTACTATTATTCTTCAAAGATGGTAGGTTTCCTATGAGAGTTTTACCCATTCCATTCAGCTGCCGATTGCAGTCTCCCTTCAAGCTAAACGCTGTAAAAATGGGAAACTTACAATATACCATTCCCTTTTTTACAGGTGTCAACTTCCCTCCAGAATCTGCCCTATTTCATTTACTCTCCAGTGTCTTTAAGTAGTTGTTTTCTGCATTTTGTCCAGTGTTTATAATTATTATCTGTAGAAAGGTCAGCATGGTATAAGCTTCCTTGGTCATACTAGTGAAACAGCCTAAGTATATCTAAATTGAAAATCCATGTGCTAGAAGCTTGGGAAGAAATAGAAAAGGGATGTATAACAGACTCTTTCCACCACCATAAAATTTAACTTTTCCTATTTCTTATGAAAATTGATTCTTCAATGAGTCAAAAACAAACAAACAAAAAACCTCCACAAAACCTCACAATATAGGATAATTTAGAAAAAGGACAAGTGAAAATCTGGAATATGGACTTATTTCAACAAAATACTACATATATTCAAAGCAATAAATCCAAGCCTCAAATTATGCTGAAAAAGAACTGCCTTGCAAGAGATGAGTGTTGCAGACAACATGATTTTAGTATAGGAATAAGTAGGATATGTTATCAGAATGTCACAGAATTTTAATGTAGAAAGGCCTATAAGAATCATCTAGTCCAAGCTACTCAAATGTCTATGCGTAAATTAATAATCCATTAATTCATTAAATAAACATTTACTGAACACCTATGAATCACTGCCAGACACAGCACCAGTTCTAAGATGTACAATGATGCTTGCAAAGTTTGTATTCTTAGGTATGTCAGAGTTTGTCCGTCAATCTTCTTTGCATTATTAATTTTCACTTTGAATAACATGCTTGATAATGAAAAATTTATCTCACTGTCCAAATGATTGTATTTTCTTTATGAATTTACTCAAATTTCATAAGATTGTGCTAGATTTATTTTTCTCTCATTGAAAAACAACGCAATGTAAAATACAACATGCCATTTCGTGGGCCAAGAATGTGTATGACATGTATTGAATGCTATCATAACATCTATACCTTCTTTCTGTAGCCAGTTGCCAGTGATAAATTCAGAGTTGCTGGATAGCATGAGATGGTTCTTGCATTTACTCATTTATTTATGGGTGGAATAGTTATAAATGTAAATGGCATTCAGATTATGATCTATAATTCTTTGACTAGGAACTTGTTGACTTCTAAATTAATCAGGAGCAATGAAGAAACAATCACTATCATATGTATATTCAATTTCTCTTAACAAATGGTCATAATCATTTTTAATGTTTTTAATGAAATATGTATAATAAGAGTTAGCATACAAATTTCAGGGAAATAAGATCTATGATAGTTAATTTCTCCAGATTAAGAAGTACAGATATCTTATATAATATCCTTAAGATATTGTCACTCATGAAATGTTTATACCATAAATGAATTATGATTCTGATATCAGGAATCATATTAGAGTTAGAAATTATGTAAATATTATAGAGGAAAGAGGACACTTAATGATAAATTAAAGTATTTCCAGAGCATATATTTTCAGCATCAGTTTTTATTCTGATCACATTATTCTACTATCATAATAAAGATTTGCACAATTACTTCTGTTTTAATTATTTCTTTTTTAAAATCCTATTACATAATTTGATTGCAGTAGGCAACTAAATGCAGTATAATTTTACTTGCCAACAATGAAGCAAGCTTTCATAATAACAATTAATGAGAACTGCAAGGAATCCTAAAATGTCTGTATCACTGTCAGCAGTGTCTCTATCTTTGGTACGATGTAGCAAGATTAAACCCTTTATTCTAAAAGAATGAAAGGAACAATTACAAAGCAAACAATTCTCAATATAGATATGGGAGAAATTTGGGTACATTATTAGTAGTTAGCAATGAAGGAGGGTTTTGATTTAGGAGAAAAAAGAACAGAAATGATATAAAAGTTAATTTCCAATTCTTGAATGTTAACAAAGCAGAAGAGGGAGAAATTAAATGTTTCATTTTAGAATTAAAGAAGATTTGAAACTTAATATTGCTTTCAGATTCAAAATTTACATTGAACGTTTCAATTACCCTATGTGACACATGGGATGATTGTTCTTTAGAAAAAAAATATTCAGCATATTTTCTAAGATTTCCTTTTACATTCTTGAATTGCTATAATTGATCTCCAGCTATCTCAGTTTCTTTTTCAAGTTTTTCAACGAAAGTTTTTTTCTTACCAAGATAGTTTACATTGTGATCACTTATATTTACAAAACTTGGGTAATACATTTATGTGGTTAATATGCCATAATTTTTATAGGGGAATATAAGTACTATTCTTCTTTCTGTACTAAACTAAAGGAACGCATGATCGGGCTCATCAATTAATAAAGTGAGTGGCTTTTTTTTCCGGGCCACAGTCAAGAGATCAAAAACGGGTGATTGCATGTTTATTAGAAATCACTGTAGTTTATTCACTCAGCAGGAGACTGACCACCTTTAAGACAATTCTATTCGTCACTAGCTATCAACTTCAAGATTCCCACTGAACCTGCTCTGAAAATGATTGTGTGTTCACAACTGAAACCTTTGCTCATATGATTATTTGGGGGCTGAGTTTGAAGAACTAAGAAAAAAATCCTATTTCCCCTACACATTAATCTCCTTTCATTGACCTAACCTCGAGCTCTATCAACTTGGGGTGCATGCAAACCAGCACAACAAAAGATTTTGCTTTTTATCCATAGGAGGAAACCCTTCAGAGGGCACGTGAAGAAGAAGAGAAAAGAAAGGAGATCACAAGTCATTTCCAGAGTACCCTGACAGATATCCAAGCCCAGATTGAGCAGCAGAGTGAGCGAAATATGAAGCTGTGTCAGGAGAACACAGAACTCGCAGAGAAACTGAAAAGCATCATTGATCAGTATGAGCTCAGAGAGGAGGTGAGAACCACATCAAACAACTTAGAAGCACTATATACAGATCCCGATCTGGGTTAGGAAGGTGCAGGACAAGGTTAATAAGAAAGTTATGGCCAGTCTTCTCAACTGATTAATATTTAGGTTTGAATTTCTTCTCTAGCCAAATAAAAACAGATGGTAATGTGAAATACCTGGCTAAAAGTCATATAGAATTTCTTCAGAACTGTAATCGCTGCAAAGCAAAGACAATAGAGTGGTAGGCTGTGAGCACGGTTATCTTCAAAAACAGTATTTCTCAGCCTTTTTAATTTTCCACAGAGCTAAGAAATATCAAACACATTTCCTCCTAAGAATCACCATGTTATTAGGGGTATGTATTCTATATATCCAACAAGCCAGTACTAATATTAATAATGAAACAATTATTATTTACGCAGAGCTTAGTTTGTGCCACGTTCTAAGAACTATACATACAATGCCATTTAATTGTCAAAACAATCTTATGCACTAGATAATGACATATTACCCATACTTTATAGATGAGAGCAGTATACAAGATTAAATCACTTTCCCATAGTCAAAAAGGCAAAGAGTTTTGCTTTCAATAGTTTACATTAAGAGGATAGGCTTCCAGTCAAGATGACCAAGTAGGTAAATGCTTTGCTCACCTACTCTCACCACTTCAGAATTACAGTCAAACTACAGAACAACCATCAACGAGAATCACCTGAAGTCCAGTTGTACAGAAGTTTTATAACAAAGGACATAGAGAAAAAGCTACCTCAAAATTGATAGGAGGAGCAGAGACGTGAAACAGACTGGTCTCACACATCCACGTGTGGCAGTTAAAAATCAGGAGAGATGTCTCCACTGCAGAGGTCCCCACTAAGGAGTGAACCCCTAAGGTTCCACTGCCAGAAAGAGAAGTTCCCACAACTTCTGGCTATGAAAACCAGCAGAGATTATGGCTGAGTAAAACAGGAGGCCCAACTGCTCCTCTTAAAGGGCCCACACAAAGACTTACTCACTGGTAGACTCACTCACGATGAGCTCCAATGCTAAAGCAGCAACTCGAAAAGCACCAGGAACATACAGGGAGGGACTGAATAGTCTGGCATCAGAGACAGGGCTGGAGGGCATCTTTCTCCCAGACAGAAGTGAAGGAAGACGCCATTTTCCTTTGTTGACTCCTCCCCTCCAACCCCAGCAGATGCAGGTGGGCATCATATCTGAGTGTCCATCAACCTAGCTAACCCTTGTCACCCTGGCCTGGTGATTCCCTGAGACCCCATACCACCCAACTTGTGAGCCTACCCAAGCCACTTCCAGTGGCTTTTGCACACAAACAGACTGTCTTGGCTCATGCTATGACTTTCCCAAAATCTCTCAAAGGTTTACAAACCCCAAACAAGAAACATCTGGCCTCAGCATGCCCCGTATCTCTTGCTAAGCATCCCCAAGCCTGGCATTGGTGGCGGCTGGCCTCAGTTCAGAACTTAGCCTCCCCCAGGCACCTCCAAGCCTAGTATAAATGGCAACCACCTGCAGATTACTTTGTAGCTCATACCAAGTGGTCCTGGGCAAGGCACAGGCAGTGGCTAACATTGACCTACAGCAGAGCCCCTCCCAAGAGGCCCAGAACCAATATACCTGGTGGCCAGCATCAGATCACACCGAGTACCACTCAAACACCTCCAGAAATGACACACCCAAGGGGCAGACTGGGTAGGCACCAGAGCTCTGCCAAAGCAAATCCTGTTCCATAGGGTCAGCCCGTGCACAACAACTTCTCCACTGTCATCATAGACAGTGCTCACAACCAATCAACCTGAAGGTCACTCCCTTCCATTGACATACAAACAGTAAGCAAGGCTCAGCTACAATAGGAAGGCACATACAACCCACACAGGGACACACCTGGAACACATGGCTCAGGTGACTAGGGAGACTCTGCTGCTAGACCCCACAGGACATGTACTATATAAGGCCACTCTGCTAAGACAAGAAGACATAGCAGCTCTACCTAGTACAAAGGAATAAAACCAGGGAAGCATAGAAACAAAATGGGGAGACAAAGAAACATGTCCCAAATAAAAGAACAAAACAGAGCTCCAGAAAAAGAACTAAACAAAATGGAGACAAAAAATCCACGAGATTCAGAGTTCAGAGCACTAGTTAAAAAAATGTTCAATGATCTCCGTGAGAACTTTAAACAAGATAGAAAACATAAAAATGGTGATAGAAAACATAAAAAAGAACCAGTCAGAAATGAAGAATACAATAACAAATAAAGACTACATTAGAAGAAATCAACAGCAGATTAATGAAGCGGAGGAATCAGTGATTTGAAAGATAAGGTAGCAGAAAACACCCAACCAGAACAACAAAAAGGAAAAAAGAATTTAAAAAAAAATGAGGAGCATTTAAGAGGCCTCTAGGACAACATCAAGTGTGCAACATTTACATCACAGGGGTACCAGAAAGAGAAGAGAGAGAGCAATGAATTGATGAAAAGTAAGGACCTATAACCAAGATTACTCCATTCAGCAAAGCTATTATTTAGAATCAAAGGATAGATAAAAAGCTTACCAGATGAGAAAAAGCTAAAAGAGTCCATCACCACCAAACCAGTATCAGAACAAATGTTAGAAGGACTTCTTTAAGAAAAAAAAAAAAGGATAAAAAAATATAAATAATAAAATGGCAATAAGTATGTATCTATCAACAATTACTTTAAATATAAGTGGATTAAATGATCCTATCAAAAGACATGGGTGGCTGAATGGATAAAAAAAATAAGCCCCTTACATATACTGCCTACAAGAGACTCACTTTAGATCGAAAGACATACCGAGACTGAAAGTAGAGATGAAAAAAGATATTTCATACAAATGGAAATGAAATAAACAGCTGGGGTAGAAATGCTTATAACAGACAAAATAAACTTTAAAACAAAAGTTATAACAAGAGACAAAGAAGGACCTAGTAATTCCACTTCTGGGTTTTAATCCAAAGATATCCACTTCAAGGGGACACATGCATCCATATGTTGGTTACAGCATTGTTCACAGTGGCCAGGCTATGGGGGTGGTTTAATCCAAAGAAATCCACTTCAAGGGGACATGTACATCCATATGTTGGTCACAGCATTGTTCACAGTGGCCAGGCTATGGGGGTGGCCTGAGCGTCCATGGATGGTTGGGTAGATGAGGAAGAGGTGGTACATATCTACGGTGGGATGTTGCTTAGCCATGAAGGAAGATGAGATCTTGCCAGAACAAAATACATGAACAGACAAAACAGAAAAAATAAAGTTTGCATTGGGGGACTATAAGGATTTTTCATTTCCGAAATTATATTTTAATATTTAACATATTTTTAAGACTCCAGATGTCTCTTCAGGATTTTGATTTATCGTATTTCTTTCCCCATCACACCGAAATTTTAAATGTTTTAAAATGTGACATAATATAGTCAAAGTGATACTACTGGCAACAGGCTAAGATTTTATCAGGAAAACAACAGAGCCAATAGCACATAATAACAGCACTTAGGTTAATCAAGAAACTCCTCAGAATAAACCAAAATGCCATGCTACCATTTTATCTTGTCACAAAGATCAACCCTGCTCCAAAGTGGAGGTTTGGTCAACAGCAAAAGGGAAGGAGCTAAAAATAAATGTCCATACCCTTCAGAAAGACCTCAAACAGATATGGCCTGGTACACTGGTTGCATATTCCCGGGACTGGTTCTAGGTAAGGCCCAGGGGTAGAATTCTACATGTCCTCTTGTCGATGGGATCTTCTAATGACCAAGAAGCTGTCTACACTGAGGTAGAATTGGAAGCTTCTCTTCACCGAGCTAGTTGGGAGGTCAAAAGGTCAGAGGCACACAGTAGCACATTTGCATATCAATTCATCTGTGAACCCTGGCCTTGTCTTGCTCAGCAGAGCAATAGAATTGAAGTCAGAGGGCTCCTTAATCCCTGACCCAGGGCCACATGCTGGTACCCCCGAGCTTCCTCACAAGCCTTGAGGCAAGAATGTGGAGGAGAATTCACCACGATAAGTTATATTAATGTTGTGCTTAAAAGTGGTTTTATATTCATAGAAAGAGCCAAAATACCTAGTGGTACTGCTGTAGCCCCTGTGATATATATCACTGCCTGTGCTGCTTAGCATAATAACTAGGCTCATATCTAATAGTTACCAGGTTCAGAAAATAAGGTTGAAACCTTTGGAGTTATAATTGCTGAATTCCCGCACCTCTACCTTTTGCTAAGATGCAGGGGACTTTACCAGTTTATGGCTTTTGTACAAAGCCATAAGTGATGTCAGTGCATGTATTTCCTCATCTTTTTAAATCTTAAAACCTGGAGAATGTGTATTTATGTGAATATTGCTTTTTTTATCTTATCTTTTTCAGCACCAATAAAAAGTCAACCTTGATATGTGCACTTTATTTTTTTTCCCTTAGCATCTGGACAAAATCTTTAAACACAGAGAACTGCAGCAGAAGCTGGTGGATGCAAAACTTGAGCAGGCGCAAGAAATGATGAAAGAAGCAGAGGAACGACACAAACGTGAAAAGGAATATGTACTTATCGTTTGCACCAATGTGCTTGTCTGGTCTGCCTTCGGGTCAGAGAACCCATGAGACAGTTGTTTTTGAGAATGGTCACAGAGCCCTAGACTGATGGAGAAAGAGCCTGAGCTTCCCCGGAGACTAAATTAGCTAGCCCAGTAGGATGCACTGTACCTAAATTACTTTCTACATAAAATAATCATGCATCCATTCAACAAATGTTTCTCAACTGCCTATCATATGCTAAGCACCATCTTAGGTGCTGGAGTATGGCAGTAAGCAAGACAGAGAAGGCCATGACCCATCATGGAGACTAGTCTAACGGGGCAGAGACAGGCAATTAACAAGCAAACAAACAAGGATGGGTAATGTCAGATAATAGTAAGTGCTACTAGGGAAATAAGGAGAAATCGAGAAGGGTCAGAAGGAGGGGACCTACTGTAGACTGGGTGACCAGGAAGGCCTCCCACAGGGGAGATGCTTGAGCTGAGCCCTGCCTGGTGAGGAGTCAGGGAGGTCTCTAACAGCAGTGTCTGCAACAGTGACAAAGGCTCTGAGGCTGGAACTAGCTTGGTGTCCTCCAGAAATAGGAAAAAGTCAGGGTAGCAAGAGCATGTTGACCCAGTAGAAGAAAGTTTCTAAATGAAGTTGGAGAAGTAAACAGAAGCCAAACTGTATAGCTCTGTAAACTTGGAACGTAGTTTGGATTTTATACTAAATATAATGGGAAAGGCCTGAGTAGGTTTAGCCATAGAAGTCTTGGCATCTGTAAAAGATGAATTTAGCTCCTACTAGGTAGAAAATGAACTAAAAGGGGATAAGCGAGCAAGAAGACAGGAGGCCACTGCAGCAATCTGGACGTGCTATGATGATGGCTTGGATTAGGGAGGTGGCAGTGGTAAAGGAAAGCTGGACATGGATAAAAGTTATGTTTTCAGCGTTAAACCAGCAAACAATGCTGTGGACAGAAGATGGTTGGCAGCAAGGAAAGGGGGGAGTCAAGAATGACTCCTGAGTTTTTGGTCTAAGGCACTGTGTGGTGTCTTTTACCAACATCTCATTAACCCCAAATACTCCGAGACAGCTGTAGGAGCATTCTACAGGTGAGAAGATCAAAGAAGGTGTGCGACTTGTTTAATTAAGATCACACACTGCTAAGTGATCGAGATGTGTTGCACACCCAAGTGTATCTGTCCCCAAGCCCAAGCTTTGTGAAACACACTCAAGAGGTGTGTTTCAGAGGCCAGAGTGGAAGTATGTTTTTATTGCTGGAGAGAGTGCTTTAAGACACAGGCAAAAGACCAATCATTGCAATTTGGTCATTTAACAATTGATCATGAGCTTTGCCTTTACCTAAAATCAGACCAGAATCACTTCAATTTGTTAGAATAATAACTTAAAAATAACTTTGGTTTTCAAATGTAGCCACAAAAGAATGAATTTTGAAGAACATAACCTAGCAGATATTGAATGATTTCAAATCAGAAGCCCATGTGCTCTTAATAAAAAGATTAATTTATTAAACTCATCTACAACCTAGCTCTCAAAGAAATAAAATATTTAATTATTATTTCTACCCAAGAAGATAGATACTCCACTGTTGGTGTAATTACCCTATTGGGTAAAATATGCTTCCCACAGGATATCAGTACCTTTGATATACAAGACATGACAGGGAAAAACTAGGCAAAGTTTAATGTGAGGGAGACTCGGAGGCAGATGTGAGGTGACCCAGCAAGAAACTAGCGTGCTGCCTATTTTTCTATCTTGGTTTTGCAAAACAGAGCAGATTTGAGTCAAATAAAGGAAGCCTCCTCAGTTCTTCAAAGCTGGCCACCTACCTGGTTTGTAGCTCTGATGCTTCTTTCAGAACATGTTGAAATAGCAAGTCAGAGCTGGGGGTGGTTCTTTACCCCAAGGAGAACAGGCAGCCACCTGCCTCCTGTTGGGGACCACCTATCACAGGAGGGCTCCTCAGCCTGCTTAGGGAAGCAGGGAGCATGGGCATGGCCACCACACTGCTCAGATGGCCAGATGGGGTGCTACAAGTCTTCTGCTTCACAGTTGACCCAGATCTCTCAAAGAATGAGTCAATGGCATTTCTACAATAATTCATCTTCACTGCATGCTGGGAGGTTTAGAGGAACATATATAACCCATCTTATAAATAGAAAGGAACATACATAACCCATGGGAAAAAGATAAACTTGGAAAAGAAAAAAGATGCCTTCAAGTTTTTCAAAATAATGATTTTATTGTTTGTTGTTGTTCTGAATCCAAAAGTAATATATATGGACTTCATAACACTTTTCACAGGAGGGATAAACATATAGAAGAAAATTTAAATCAGCTTCAAATACATTAGAACCTTCTTAACTGACAGCCAGCTGACTGACTAACCAAATTAATCCACGACGTTCACCATTCTCCCTATAAACGTCCTGAAAGATGCCCACAGCAGGTCGAATCCTGTGGCTAGTTAAGTCACCCTAGACTGTCTACCCATGGTTGCCCTCATTAAGTAACAGGGAGCTGACCAAGAATCAGCCCTTTGCTCCCGAACCTTTTCTTTCCAGTTATCTTTATTTTTGTATTATGTAAATCAACAGAATCATACATTAACTGAAGAAATAAAAGTGTGAAAAGAAAGAGTTGTTTCTGTGAAAACTATGCTTAATGCTTTGAAAGATGAGATATAAGCAAACAGCAAGAAACAATTGTCAAACTAAATGAGAGTAGTTATAAAGGACTGGGAGAAAGTTGTAAGACTAGAGAATTAAACAATCAAGCTGCTTCACCAGTATCTTTAGGTCTTTGGGTTCTAGCTTGTTTGTTTAAAAATAAAAAATATTCTAAATGTTATATGGCGCATTTTGGGTATGATTTTTGTAAAAACAAAATAAAACGAACCCCTCTGAATTCCATTCTGAAGTTCCACATTCAAAACAAAGACCAGAGCCCTAAATTAAAATGGATAGATGAACATACACCTTAAAATAACATGTTTTACGTCTGTGTTATTTTTTAATGCCTAAAACCATTTTCTAAGTTTAACCCCTCAGCTCCTTGTTCTGATCAGGTTTCATATGAGAGGCCTTGGGTGTATTTGAAAGTCTATTTTATGGAAAAGGGACCTTATTTTGTAAACTTATACAGGACTTATTTTGTAAGCCTTATATAGGATGTGGAACAATAGGTCAAATTTCTAACCCCTTGTTTCTCAAAATATAATCCATGGACCACCAGTATCCAAACCATCTCGGGTATTTGCTATAAGTAAAGATTCCAATTACACACCAACAATTCCTAACTCGTAGTCTCTGAGAGGAGTCAGCATTTTAACATGCACCTTAGCAGATTCTGACGCATGCTATGGTGAACAGGGGTCTAGGAGACTAACTTTGATTTTAATATAAAGGAACAGTTGCTTACAACCCTGCCACAGGTGGGGATGTTCTGGGGATGTTCTGGAGATGTTCAGGCAGAGGTCAAATGATGGTTGGACAGGATTTCTAGGGAATGTTTCAGAATTTGGTGGAAGGTCGAATTTTGTGTGATTAATGCTTGAGTTGAAGATAATTTATCTTTTTATTTCTAACAGAACCACCAATTTTTAGTTGAGAATCCAACTTTTTAGACTTGTTGTTTTTAGATTTCTTAGACTCTTTACCAGGTTCCCCAAAATTACTTAAGAGAACAATTAATTAGCAAGTTATTAAGTTTACACACAAATTACAACCAAATGGTAACTTAAAAGACAATCTGACGGTCTTTCGATGTATTCTTTCTTCCACAGTTGCTGAACCAGGCAGCAGAGTGGAAACTTCAGGCCAAAGTACTGAAGGAACAAGAGACGGTCCTGCAGGCTCAGGTGAAGTGGGGGACAACAATGCATGGGGTGTGCTCACCTTGCTGTTCCCAAGTAAAGAGACTATGAACCAAAGCTGGTCTTCAAAAAGCCTTACGCGTGACAGGGAGAAGGAGAACAGGAGTCGAAAATTAAGAATAACTTTACATTTATTATTTTTAAGTAAAAATAAAAGTACAATGTATATCTAAGAAAAAGAAATGCTCTTGCACCAACAACATCCGGTCAAAAGGTTTGTTGACATGCAAATGAGGTCACTAAAACGGCCAATGAAAATAAGCTGGTGTACAGGTTCCCACCTATCTATTAATACATCCTCTCTCTCCTCTCCCACTAACCTATTAAGAAAAAAATATGTAAACTATTCATATGCACCATCTGTAATTGTCAATACTGAAAATGTTCTTACTTGTTTGATATTATTTATAAGAAAAGAAATTTAGAAAAATAGAGTCAGCACCCAAGTATTTGTGCTATCAGAGGCTGGCCTTGTCAGTGGCCAATGATTAGAAATGGCAGGCAAATCAGAAACCATTTTGATTTGGCTTTGTGATGTCTTGTGTGTGTTCTGACTAGATTATGGGAATTCATACTTCAGACTCAAAAATAAACCCTCATGCAACAGCTGACTCTAGGCAAAAGCCAGACCTAGCCATCTTTCCCGTGCCCTGGGAGCTCTGCCCCTCCTGGCAAACAGTCCCTGTCTGTTTCCAGGAGAGCCATCCTGCCTTGGAACACAAAGGGGCTCTGGCTCCCCTGCTCATGCACTAAAGGAACTGTGAAATCACATAGAGCAAATTCACAGAACGTGCCCTTCCAAGCTGGGCAGCATTAATTTAAGATTTGGGCAATTCACTTATAAATATTTATATGCTGACTGCTGAATACTTGTTCATGGTAGGAGAAAAATACTTGTTCGTTATGTGAATGAAAAGGTTTAATGAACTTGTCCATCATAAAATAAAAAGCAAATAAGAAAAATAAGAAAGTTCAAATCACAAATGATGTAACTACATAGACAAAAACACAGATAACATTTGGATATCTAAAGCTCCCAAAGCATACTTTTCCAATGTGTGTACCAAATATAACAATGAATATTTATTGAGCACCTTCTAAGTGCTAGGCATGCTTCTAGGTGTTGGAGACATAGTAATCAATGGGAGATACAAAAATCCCTGACTAATTAAACTTACAATTTAGTGATAACAATGTTAACAAAAACACTAACAATTCACTAGTGCATAAGTTAATATTACCATTATTTCATAAGTTAGGATCCACATAAGGATATATGAGACAAAAAAGTCTTTATTTGCACACACACACACACACACACACACACACACACACACACACACACACACAAAAGTTTAAGAATCACTGGAAAAGATGATCTCAAGATCCCGTTCAGTTCCAGTTCATGAATACAGAGAACTTCCAAAGCTGAAGAAGCGTAGCTGTCAGCTGAGTTAACTCTGCCTTCTCCTCCACTGCCTTAGTTTTCATGACATATGGCTCTCTTGACGAGGACTCACCTGTGTCTATCTCTTTCGTCTTCAGGGCACTTTCGAAACGTCAATAATTACTTAACCATCGAGAAGAATATAGAGGCCCCAAATCCCTATGTGAATAATGTTTAAACAGGTTCCTCTGGAAAATTGTCAACATTATATTTTTTAAACTTTTAAACCTTTAAAAAACAAAGTCTATCACAGGTTATTTTGCACAACACTCAAAGTCTTCTGGTTTTACAATATCTTTTTTAAAAGTGGGTGATAGGTTGGGGAGGGAGACCACAGGCCTTGTTTGCATCATCTGAGCAAGGGAAATATCAAGGATGTATTGTGTTTTCCTCTATGAAAGTTACTTTTCAGTCATAAGACAACAGCTTGCCAGTTTGGGGCATGATTCTCACTTGGAGAAGAGATGTCTAGTTTTCAATTATACAAACCAAGGCAATAGAGTAAATGTCAGAGATGATCAATGGGATGCAATTGTCACTACAAGTAGAGTGTTCATCGGATCAATATGGATGAAAATGGTTGTAGATGTGGAAAGTCAGCAATACCTGACAGCACAGACACCAAATACTGCCCAAGGGGACAGATCAGTGAGTAAATTGTTAAAGACGGGTAATCATAGTCTTTCAACTCAGAAGTCCTCAGTTTATCAATACAGGATGAGAGGAGATGCCTCTGCAACTGCTTTCATAATTGGACTTGTTCCCAAACTAAATCATACAAGTTTGCTAAGACAATTCCTGGACACCATTCTGTTTCCTATATGCTGTGAATGTTTGTAATTAAAAGTTGGTGCTCAGTTAAAAGAATGTGTGTGTCACTCAGCCTGTTTAAAAGTAGAATATTGGCCTTTGAGCCAAACTTCTCTTGCTCAGGCCTGCTTCTGCATCTGGAAGTTTACTATCGCTCCTAATAAAACTTTTCTTTTCTACTGTTAAAAAAAAAAAAAAAGTAGAATGTTGAGGCAATTACTGTTATTACTAACCCTCGAATAGTTTGTTTCTATTTGTGCCTCTCCAGGAGAGGTACTGTGGATGACCTCTGGATGTCCCTTCCATGTGTCTCTGAAACACCAAAGTGAGAGCAGGAATATGATATGTGCATCATGTCATCAAAATAATGAGGGGGAAAAAACTACCAAACAAATATCCATGTAGTAAACAGAAAGTGTACATTCTTAGTGTAAGTAGAGAGTTAGAGTTGGTTACCTGAGAAAGCAATAATTCACACAGGTTTTGTTACCTGTGTCAATGAGATCAAATAGGAAGAAAAGCAGAATATTAAAAACAGTCACCAAGAGAGGGGAATGGAGAGTTGTTGTTTAATGGGTACAGAGTTTCAGTTTTGCAAGATAAAAAGTTTCTGAAGAATGGTTGCACAATGTGAATATACTTAACAATACTCAACTATGCACTTAAAAATGGTTAAGATGGGCAATTTTATGTTATGTGTATTTTACCATAAATTTTATAAAGAGGGAAAAGTTGAGGAAACAAAAAAACAATTACTAGAAAAGGACCAGAAAAAGAGATAGTGATGCAAGACACTATTCCTGGGCACTCTGGGTGTGTCTGTCTTCTCCATCTGCCCCACTGATGCGACAAAAAGAACATTTTGCCCAAATAAAGGAGAGAGTAGGATGGGGCGGGTGTGGCTGCTCTTGCTAATTCTGTCAAGGTTGCCTCTGTGAGATGGACCTTGCATGCACTCACCTCTGTCCCTTTCTGTCTGCAGCCTGCAACTACAGGGCTGAAATGGAGGGCTGGGGAGGGCAGCTCAGGAGACCATAGTATCTGCAACTCCCATGCAACTTTGCTGGAATTAATAAAAAGTTGAAAAGAAGAAAGGGGAGGAAATAGGAAAAATAATAGGAGCTCTTGGCCAAGAGTGCAAAAGATTAAATTTTGTGATAGAAGGTGAAGAGGATCAGCTGTAGGTAGTCGTTGCCACCCTAGGCCACTGGGTCATGTGCAGTATGAGTAGCTAGTCCCACAGGAGTTTACATTAGGGTAGAGCCTCTCCAATCAAGAAGCTTGACCTACTCACCGGCCCTGAAATCAAGTCAGTGGATCCCATCCAGTACTTTGAAAAAAATGAAACAACTGAATATATCAAGAATGCATTGCACGTAATAAGAGTAATTATTGTCTTATAAATTGTGTGTGTGTGTATGTGTGTGTGTGAGAGAGAGAGAGACAGAGAGACAGAGAGACAGAGAGACAGAGAGACAGAGAGACAGAGAGACAGAGAGAGAGAGAGAGAGAGAGAGAGACAGAGAGACTTTCCTGGCCATGAACTCCTGGATGCCCCTTTACCCAGTCTTCACTAATCTGTAGGCTGAAGAATCATGAGAAACAAAATTTAGACCACTGGAACTGCCCCAAGCTGTCACATACTCACACTGCTGATTTCAAAATGACAGTCAGCTGTTGTTTAACTTTTCTTTGGAAAATTTGTATCTTATGAAAAGGTTTTATGCTTTCTTTTTGTTGTTCTTGTTCACTGCAGTGAAACCTCTGCCATTCTGAATCATTTGAGAATGAACCATTCTAGACTAGCAAATTCTCTGGGTTCTAGGGGTTGTTTGATTCCCACACACTCCCTCTAACTCCCACCCCCAAGACTGAGAACTTTCCATTACACTGACTTTCTTTTGGTGTGTCCTCTGCTTTCAAAAATCAGTCTCATAGGTACCAGCAGCTAGTCAACTGGTGCCTGCCTTCTGGCCAGTAATTCAACCAAACCAGCCTACCAAGGGCAGCCTCAAGTTCTTGTTTGATGCTGGATGCTACAGGCTTGCTTCTCTATACAAAAGATGTTCCCGTGCCCATCTGAGGACTTGGAGCTGTTTGGGGTATTTAAGAGTACCAAAGACTCATTTGAAAATTCAGGCTTTATTCACTTGATTCATCCGTATGAAATCTCCACTCTCTCAAAACATACTATCTTAAAATTATTATCAAAAGCAAAATTTTATTATTGCATTACTATCACCAATAATCAAGTATTTCCTTTCCTATCCTGCTCTATTCTCACCCCAAAGTCAAGTTTTAGAGTCAAAGATGTGGGGGTACCAAAGGCCTTCCTCTCTACTCCTGTGGTGAGCCACATACTTGCCAATGCTAACCCATACAATGTTGTTTTTGTGCAAATTAGAAAAAGGCGTTTCTTCCTCAAGACTCATTATTTCCCTCTGTAGGAAACTGGTACAAGAAATTGATTTTGATGAAAAGAGATATTAAACTGCTATTGGCTAGAACACTGTATTCATAAATATACAAAACCACAGTGTCAAAAATGGAAATGGCAATTGTTTAGAGTGGCACAATCTGCCTAATGGCAGCGGCTGTAGTCCATGTCCAGCCCACATTTCTTTACCACTTCTTTTTCACTTGTCTACGATCTCACTTCCTCCAGGATTAAGTTCAAGACTCACCTTCTCCACAGAAACGTGGTTCCTTCTCTGATCAGGCTCTGTACATACCTGCCTTGGCACTTGTCCCAGTCAAGCTGTCTTTGGGATCATCTTCCCATCAAGAGTGCAGGTCTCTCAAAAGCAGGAGCCACGTGTTAAATACTTTGGACATAGAGTCCACATATATGTTCAGAGATCAATAAATGTTTGTTGCAAAAAGTTATGATATAATGAAGTAGTGATGACATATTTTATTATTTAATTTTTCTTTAAAGAAGTACGTCAATCATAGCCACTGACCTAGGTTGATCTCAAAGTAAATTAAAGAATTGAACATATTACTAACACTATATTGAGAATTCCCTTAAATCATTTTTCTTCTCAAATAATGAACAATGGCATGTTGTTTTGTTCTGGAAGCGTTTAGAAAGCAGACCTAAAATAGATCCATTCTTTTCCCTGTTTGCAGCTCACTCTCTACTCTGGAAGGTTTGAAGAGTTCCAGAGCACACTGACAAAAAGCAATGAGGTGTTTGCCACTTTCAAACAGGAAATGGATAAAGTGAGTATTGCTTATCCCACACAAAATATTGACATTTTCTGTTTTGACAGGCAATTCTCCTTTGGGTTCATTTTTCTCTCGCTAAGATATTCCAGTGCATTTCATGAAGTAATGAAACATTTATAGGTGCCAGTGAAATTTAGACTGTATTTTTTTATTGGTAAGTAAGTATTGGTATTTCCTGAATTAATCATAAAAAGAGTCCAAAAACACTAGAATATATTTTCAGTCCAAGGAAGATTTTTTTTTTTCTAGTCCAGGGATAGCTTTAAAAAGAAAAGAAAAGAAAAGAAAAAAAAGAAAAAGAAAGAAAAAGAAAAGAGCTTGCAGTTTAACATTATGTTGTTTATATTGAAAACAAAAAAAAATACCTGGTCTTCTGAAGATTAAAAAATCTTTCATACAAAAATGCAAGAGTAGAATATTAAAGTAGAAAATACCATTTCATAGGATCCTTCTTAGAAGAAGAGATATGTCTAATGTGATGTAACTGACAGAGTCTTTGCATGAGACAAGGGAAGCTTGGATTCAAAATCTGGATGTGTTCTTACTCATCAGGTCATATTAGACAATTCATTCAACTTCCTTCAACTTTATTTTTCTTATATTTAACCCAAGGTACTATTTCTCTTGCCTACTTCACAAGAATGTGAAGTTCAGATGAATTAATATGTTTTTAAAGAGTTTTAAACTATTCAAAATTCTTTCACAAATATAAGGTGCCCATATTATCATGGGGATATAATGTTTAAATCTTATTCAATGCAGTGTTTTCCCAAAACAAAATCAGCATCAGAATTGTACTTCTGAATAAGCATTGGCATTAACTATTTTTAAGGGCAGAAATTACCCTTTTCAAAACATTTTCATAAAATAGTATGATAAACTTCACAATTCAGTGAGCAAACTTAAGTAGGCCTACACTTGTTAACAGCTACAGTTTCCCAATTCTTGATAAATCTAAAAAAATTTTTTAATTATGGAGTTTTAAGATTTGAATAAGTATTAGAGCAGGAAAAAAAATGTGTTTATTTAAAAATTACATAGTTTTAAGATTGGAGTAAATCTTAAGAGAAATGTTAATCTTAAAGATTAAGAGCAGGAGTTCTTGATCTGGAGTTCATTTATAGAGTTTTAGAAGTAGACCTGAGAATTAGCAAAAAATTTTCATATACATATCTGCATTTCTCTGTGTGTCCCCATAGATTTCATCCAATTCTTTAAAAGGGTTGATGACTTTTAAAAGTTTACAATCTAATAAGTTGGTTGATAAAGGATCAAATAAAAAACCACTAGAAGTTCACCTAATTTCTCTATAGAACCCAGGGTCTGACAGCCTGGGCCCAGCCTCTGGCCTCAGAGGCTACCTAGCCTCAGTCAGGTTGGCACAAAGCAGCAAATGCCCAGCTGTGGTTTGTCTAAGGAAACTGCATCTAATTAGATGCCTTGTCCTTCACTTTATCCAATCAGAGAGTAGATCCAACAACCAAGAACGTGAGTAGTTTTAGGTTCAAAAAAGACAGGCGGTGTTTCATTCACTTCTGTATCCCCCACACCCAGTCCCAGCCTGTGACCAGCAGACACTCTGCACACATTGCATTAAATGGAATGAACTAACTCCGTCCCTACTCTTCTGCTAACTCATCTGAATATTACTCTACTTCTCTGAATTTCAGCTCCCCTATTTATAAAGTGGAGGTGAGAGCATAAACTTCCTTGTGGGACTGTTTCAAGGATGAAATGAATAATGTGTGTAATCATATCCTGCGAACCCTATTGCACTCTACAAATGTAAAGACTTTCTCAGTCTATTTTCTCAATAGAAGGCTGCTT